ACACCTGTTGACATGACAAAGTGACACCTGCTGTCCTGGGAAGGCATTGACGGGTACAGGCACAGAAGTAACAGCCAATCAGTGAAGGAGGCGTATCTGGGGCAAAGCAAACAGGTGGGGTTAGCCGAAATGCTCGGGGAATCTGCTCGAAGGTTCCACGAAAGGGCGTGGCTGGAGGCGGGGCTTAGGCACACCTGGGGGAATATAATGGGGAGTGGAACCGGAGCTCGGGGCTCGTGTGGGGTCCTGGGTCCTGGCTGTGTCGCTGTTCACCGAAATCTCTCTCCGTTGTCCGGCCACGTGGAAGATCTCCTGAATGATTACATCGCCGTCATCATCATGCCGCCAGCCAGCGGCGAGACGAGTGAGGGCGAGGGGACCACGCTGAGTGATCGACTCTGCGTGCAGCCAGTAGAGGTGTTATTGCCGAGAGTTCTATTCAGTGAGAGTAAGAACCAGTGTTGGCCTGTATTGTGCCCACTGTGAGAAATAAAGAAGTACCCTCTATGTGACGTGTCGTGGAAGTCACTCATTACACTTGTACTGCCACACACACAGCTGGGACACCTCACATCCGAGCCAAGGCACATTTACCCAACACAGACAGCACTTGCAAGCAATTCAACGTTATGTTGTGTCATCATGGGTTTATTTCACAAAGTTTATATAGTACCAGCAACAACAATGGTATTGAATCTTATTCTTTACAGGAGTGGCTCTGGGGCTTGCCACGTGGCAGGTTTCGTCAATTGTCTGTACAAGACCCCTCTAGCTCTCTCGTCCTGGGTCAGCTGCCCCTTCCATGTCCTGGAAACCATGGCAAGGTCACCCCATGAGGACTGCCTGGATGAAAACCAGCATGGAAGGGGCCCAGGATGGGGACGGCTATGTTTTTTGGCTAGTCCCGTGTGTGTTTGTTGTGTGAGGTGTCTTGATAGCAGTCGTTCTCCACTGTAGTCCTGGCATCTGCTGCTCAGATTCCTTCCACAGCTGTGGTCCCAGTGGCACCGTCTCTCCGGCGAACCATGTGGTGTGTGTGTGACGAGTATCACGGGGTGTGTGGTGAGTGGGTGGCATGTGTCACGGGGTGGGTGGATAGTCTGGTGATAGTGGTCATGGTTGGCAGCGATCCACGACCACAACAACCACCCCTATTGTGTGGTGGACATGCCACCACAAAGCATCACGCGGCGGAGGAGTGAGGTGATCGCTCTCGCCACGCGAGCAAGGCCCCCTCGCTTCCTCTTCTTTCCCTGCATCACCACCTCCACCACCTGCACCTCCTCCAACCTCCTGCTTTGTCTCGTCCTCCATCTCCTCTTCATCCTCCACCACCATCTTCTCTCCCTTGTCTGTGTTCTCCATTCTCTCCTCCTGTTCCTCCTCAACCTCCTCGTCCTCCACCACCTCCACCTTCTCCTCTTCGTGTTCCTGTTCCACCTCTGTCTTCTTCTCCATATTCTCTGCTTGGAAGCCAGTGCTAAGCGTGCGGCGCAGCGGTTGGCAGTGGTGGTGGGTGGCGGTGATGGCGGTGGCGGCGGTGGCGGCGGCAGGGTGGCGGTGTGGCGGCGGTCGTGACGATGGTGGTGATGGCGGCGGCGGCGGTGGTGGCGGAGATGGAGGTGGTGGCCGTCGTGGCAGTGGTGGTGGCGGTGGTGGCGGTGGTGGAGGTGGTGGCGGTGGCAGTGGCGGCAGTGGTGGTGGTGGTGACGGTGGTGGCAGTGGCGGCAGTGTTGGCGGTCGTGACGGTGGTGGCGGTGGCAATGGCAGAGGTGGCGGCCGGTTTTGTGGCAGTAGCGGCAACGGCGTCGGTGTCAGTGGTGGCGGTGGTGGCGGTGGTGGCAGTGGTGGCGGCGGGTTTTGTGGCAGTGGTGGCGGTTGTGGCCGTGGTGGCGGTGGTGGCCGTGGTGGCGGTGGTGGCCGTGGTGGCGTTGGCGGTGGCAGGGGTGGGGGTGAAGGTGCCGGCCGTAGCGGTGGTGGTGATGGTAGCAATGCTGGCGAGGCGCTGCTCCTGCTCAAGGCGCTTCTCCTCCTCGACGTGTTTCACGTTGTCGAGACACTTCTCCTCCTCCTCCAGACTCTTCTCCTCAGCACACTTCATCTCGCGATGATGCTTCTCATCAATGAAGTACTTCACTTTAATGAGGCGCTTCTTGAGGAGATAATCTCGGAAGTACTTCTCCTCTGTGCGGCACTTCGCCCTGGCAATGCGCTGCACCTCAAAGAGGCGCTCCTCTTCCATGGTGCATCTTTCTTTGCCAAGGTTCTTTTCCTGGAGATGCTTCACCCCGCTGACGTCCTTCAACTCTCCAATTATCCTCTGATCAAGCAAAGATAAGCAAAGGAACATTCAGACATGCACATGCAAGCAAACATTCATACCCACAGGCACGAAAACGTGGACGTGCACATAAACCCAAACAAAAAAAACATACACATGTATATACAGATGCAGCCACCCACATTCAGTCACTCAAACTTGCTTAGTACACACTTGAATATACACTATCACCTACTGTTAACAGAATGCCTTATCCATCAATACTTGTATTACATTGTACGTGTAATACTAACTCCTAAATATCCCAACTCCTATAGAATCAAAATACATGTCACATCCTCATATATCCTCACAAACCCCATGCATGCACTCAAGACTTTTCTCGATTGTGACGGTTTCATAGCAAATGTTGGCAATAATCATCACTGGCAATAGATTTCACAGAATGTCCCAATATAAATATCTGGAAGCCCATACTCTGGACAAACTTCACTGCAGCGCCCATAGTGGGGAACTGGAATGGCAACTTGCAATCAACTCACAGACATAATTCATGTGACTGCCTGATATCATTCTGTCTTCATTGGTAATGGCCACTTCAAGTGCCTGCATGACTGGGATGGTGAAGAGATGCGGTGATGGTGTCGGGACATGGTGTTGTGATATGGAGAGGAGAAGTAATGGAATGTTCTCGAGAGATGGTGTATTGTGATGGTATAGAGGCACGATGAGGCTCTAATATGGTGTATTGAATTGATGGTCGTGTAGTGTGATGAGAAAAGTGATGGGGAGACTTGGTGTCGTGATATGTTGGTGTGCTGGTGAGGTGACATGGTGTGCTAGTTTTCGAGACAATGTCGTGTGTTTTAACCCTACAGACCCCATACACATCGTGCTCTCTTCTAGCCCCGCCCCCTCCCCCAATACGTTCCATTCATTGGCTACCACATTCTGATAAGCTCCTCCCCCCTCCTCCCTCCTTAACTTGTATTTAAGAACTTGCATCTTGGAATCCCTGCCTCACTTTATACAGCAAATTCAGCTGTGACGGTCCCACCTGGGACGGAGACTTGTGTTGCCTCCGAAACGTCGTGATTTTTATTATTTTATTTTTATTTATTTTAATTTCATTTTATACCTACGTGACTTTACCGAAATAACTAAGAGTATGAATCCTTGCAGTCACGAAAGCTTCAAATCTAGAACCCATACACACCTTTGGTGAGCGATTCTTGTAACTTTGGCCTGGGAAAGGGTCCACCTTATCCATAACGTCCCCCCACGTGGTCGACTGGCACGCCGACTCCCGGGCTATGAAGAAAAGAAAATGCATTCCAAGGACGAGTAATGAATTAGAGAACGAAGTACATTGAATTTCACAGAACTACTTTTGAGATCCCAGTAATTACCTCTTACCACACAACAGGACCTGCTATTGAGAAATAGTCATCACACGGCATTCAAACTTTACAAGTCATGTTTTTGTCGGCATTTTGAGACCGTAAATTACCTAAGCTTGAGAACCGAGTATGAACGAAGATGGCAGAAACTCAAATCTAAACCCATCCTATTTGCCACACTCGATCATTACGTCTTCCCATTACCACCAAGCCATGTCTACGAAAACTAATTTATCAAGGAGCCTCCTCCTCCGCATATAATCCATGTGATGCAGGTATCTGGGACTTACCCTCATAGTCATCCAAGATCTCAGCCCACGTGATTTGTCTGTCCATGTTGTTGGGAAGGAGTAGATTTTGTTTGAAGTTGGATGGCCTGGGGAGGTTGGAACAATGCTCAGATTTAGCAAACTTTTGAATCACTCATCCTCTTAATTAATACATATTTGACCACTCATTGTACCAATCCAATCACTATCGTGACTATACTCTTAGGTTTTTTTTCGGTAAAGTCAGGTAGGTAAAAATAGATAAATAATAAAAATAAATAATAAAAATTATATAAATAATAATAGAAATAAAAGAATAAATCACGACGTTTTGGAGGCAATACAAGCTTCCTTCATCAGGTGTAAAGGCACAGCAAAATAACTGTAGTTAATAACTGTAATTACTGTAGTTATTTTGCTGTGCTTTTTTACACCTGATGAAGGAAGCTTGTGTTGCCTCCGAAACGTCGTGATTTCATATTTTATTTCTATTATAATTTATATTATGTTTATTATTTATTTTTTCCTACGTCACTTTACCGAAAAAAACCTAAGAGTATGAATCCTTGCAGTCACGAAAGCTTTAAATCTAAAACACTATCGGGACTTTTTTGTTGTTGCTGCTAATCCTACATAATGCACGGGCATAATATGACTTTGATACCCCCCACCCCCCACCTCCTACGCATTTCACAAGTAGTGACTAATCCCATATCTACATTTTCCATAAATATGCTAAAATTCTGTTGATATGCAAATATCTTTGTCAAGGCGCCCTTCCCCCTCTAACCCAGCTTAAATATACGCTGCCAAGCTTGGTGGTGTTCATTCAGACGCTGTCTTTTCGACAGCCCTGTTCTTCACCTGAGGACGGCTGCTTGCGTTGTGGCCGAAACGTTGTGAGAATTGTATTTTATTATGTTTTATTTTCATTATTTCCCTTCTACGTAACTTTACCGAAAGAACCAAGAAGACTATCGTGACTGTTGCTTTAAAAGCCCACTCACTCGCTTGTTTGCCCACTCATGTGTGCGCCCGATCACTCACTCATCCACCCACACGAACATGTTTATTCCAACTGCCTATTTCATTAAACATAATCACCAGACTTAACAATTATATTTCACCTCTAATCTAGACATGCATGTTCATGTACAGTCCATTTGTATTAATCGACTGCTTGATTAAAGACCCATATGCCTTGTAGGTCATTAGGGTCATATGACCATACCTAAATAATTTGTTATAACCCGAGCATGACGTCGTAGGTCACTTGATGTCAGAGGTACCACCCATGTGGCTGTGACATCACAGATTGGAGGCAACTATGGCAGTGGCTAGGGTCTGAACTTAAAGGCAGACTCCTCCCAAAATGTTGAATAAAATTCAGTACATATAATGTAGGACACAATTGTACCAGCAATCAGAACATAATAATTGTACTCTTAGGTTTGTTTGGTAAAGTCACGTAGGTAAAAATAAATAATAATAAAATAATAATATAATTAATTTTCGATTTAAAGCTTTCGTGACTGCAGGGATTCATCTTCTTGGTTCTTTCGGTAAAGTCACGTAGAAGGGAAGTAATAAAATAATAAAAATAAAACATAATAAAATAAAATAAATCTCAAGGCGTTTCGGCTACAACGCAAGCAGCCGTCTTCAGGTGAAGAATGAGACAATAACTTGGCAATAACTTGGCATTGTCTCATTCTTCACCTGAAGACGGCTGCTTGCGTTGTAGCCGAAACGTCGTGAGAATTATTTTATTTTATTATGTTTTATTTTTATTATTTTATTACTTCCCTTCTACGTGACTTTACCGAAAGAACCAAGAATATAATTAATAATAGAAATAAAATAATAACATAATAATAATATAATAAATCACCTATGTGACTTTACCGAAAAAACCTAAGAGTATGAATCCTTGCAGTCACGAAAGATTCAAATTGTAGATATGTTATTCATATTCTATGATATTTAAACGGGTTAGTTATGCTCGTCTTAAATTCTGACTCGCCTGGGGTCTAAACAACGACAGTAACAGCAACATTTCAGGGCATGCCAAGTAACCTATTTAACAGTTCTAATTTGATTGCAGAAAATCTACATATAAACATAAAAAATAATGAAGCTTGTGGTCAAAATGTAAAATAAAAAGAAACCACATTCATCGTCAACAGGGTCGCTCACCTCGTTGAGGATTCGCTCTCAAAAGGCTTCTTCTGCTGCTCCCTCGTGTGCATTCCTCTCCACTGTGGGTGGAGGCGTGGCTGTGACGTAACAGAGGTGACGTCACTAGCGCGAGGCTCCGCCCCCCACGAGCCCGGCTGGCGCATCACGTGGTGCAGTGCTGGTTGTGCGCGGGACCGGAAACAGCAGGTCCTGGGTTCGACTTCAGACTCCGTGGTCTACACAGCGAGGGTGAGTGAATGGGTGAGTGGGTGAGTGATTGAGTGAGTGAGTGGGTGAGAGATTGAGTGAGTGGGTGAGTGGGTGAGTGATTGAGTGAATGGGTGAGTGGGTGAGTGGGTGAGTGATTGAGTGAATGGGTGAGTGGGTGAGAGATTGAGTGAGTGGGTGAGTGATTGAGTGAATGGGTGAGTGGGTGGGTGAGTGAATGGGTGAGTGGGTGAGCGATTAGCGATTGGGTGAGAGACGGAGTGAGTGGGTGAGAGATTGAGTGAGTGGGTGAGTGAGTGGGTGAGTGGGTGGGTGAGTGGGTGAGTGGGTGGGTGAGTGGGTGAGTGCATGGGTGAGTGAATGGGTGAGTGGGTGAGAGATTGAGTGAGTGGGTGAGAGATTGAGTGGGTGAGAGATTGAGTGAGTGGGTGTGAGTGAATAAGTGGGTGTGAGATTGAGTGCATTAGAGCTTGAGTGTGGCAGAGTGAGTCAGTGAGTGTGATAGAATGAGACAGTGAGTTAGTGAGACAGTGAGTTAGTGAGACAGTGAGTGAGTGAGAGACAGTGAGTTAGTGAGAGACAGTGAGTTAATGAGAAAGAGAGAGTGTGGCAGAGTGAGTGGCAGAGTGAGTGAGAGAGTGCAGTTCGTGTTTTGTCGAGAAAGTGTGGCGAGTGTGTGTGCGCGTTGTGTAGCTGTGTGTACATCGTGTACATAGTGTTTGTAGTCTCTAATTAGTCTAAATGACGCTACACAAATTAAACATTTGCCCCCTTGCTTTGTGCTCTTTGATGTCGCCATTCCTGCGAAGAGGACAGAGGGGAGGCCTGGCCGTTAGGCCTGCCATACACCTCGGCCTCAGGCTTCATATTAAAAGTTCACTTGCTTGCTTGCTTGCGCGCTTACGACCGTGCAAATCTTTCGGTCGATTTTTTAACCCACTTCCCGTGATACAATCGAGCTGACATTTTGCACACAGACTCGTTGTGTGTGACATTTTATATTCGTGAAATTTTCTTTCCAAAATTTTACACTTTTTAGGTAAAAAAAAGTATATTTAATTACCAATTGCTTAATGGTGGCAGGCAATCATCTGACCCATAGGTGGCAGCCATCTCAAGCCAGATGACGAGAGGACTCTCGCCGCCCGTTTCAAAGACCAATGTGGGCTGGGTTGTGGCCCATTAAACACGCATATAAAGGATTTATAGTGAAAAACTTTGTTTTTACGGGTTAATTTTTGTATAATTTGAATTATGAACTTGTATTTCATTCATTAAATTGCAAGCGTATAAACACAATCTTATTGGTTTATTTACTATTAAATTCATGGTTTTCTTAATCTATGTAGTTATGTTTAAGTGAGCGAGGTGGTAGTACTAAGTGTGAATTTGAGTTACATGTAAATTATTGTGCAATGGATTTGTCTGTGTGCACCTAGCCTGGCACGGGTAATATTGACTTTGTTATTATTAAGTCGTTAGAGAGATTGTTTATTTGTGTGTCTGTTATGTTTGTGTCAGTTTACATATCTATGTTTGTAGCTGTTTACGTGTTAATTTATGATGGGTGGTGATAATAATGGGTAGGTGGTGATGATGGGTGACGATGGTTCATGATGGTGATGAATGTGATGGATGGTGATTATAATGGTTGTTGCTGATGATGATGGGTTGTGCTGATGGGTAAAGATGACGATCGGTGCTGATGATGATGGGTTACGATGATAATCTGTGGTGATGAGGGGTGGTGATGATGGGTCATGGTGTTGATAGGTGGTTGATGATAATGGGTGTTTATAATGGTGATGGATAGTGATTTTGATGGTTGGTGATGATGATGATGGCTGGAGAGTCAATGTATTGAGTACTTCTGTTAACTTTTTAAGTCCTGTAATGTGCATGTTTGTGTCTCTGTTAGATCAATCAATGAGGTACAAGTTATTATTTGCGTGATTTCCAGTGCTCCAAGCTAGAGTGATGTTGTGAATGCTCTATAATGTGTTCGGAAAAAAAGTCTTCCTTTAAAGTTCTAAAAGTGTTCACTTATTTCAGGATGACAACAATTTTATATTTCGATAGATGCGATGCTTTGTCTGGTGGTTGTATCATCGGTACTATTTAATGTGTGGTGTTTATGGTAGAAGGTGCCATGTGTTGTGATCGTCTCACAGCTACTTGCGTGTTGAAGTTCATTCTAGACTTCGTCACGTTAAAGTGGTGCCTTGTAGTCCTATCGGATTACTTGTTGATGTGGTGTGAAGCGCAGTGGTTGTGAGGTGGTCCAATTCCTGAATTTACTCTCGTGGCTAAGTGGTCTTGTTGAGCTAAAGTTGGAGAATAACTGTGATCATAACTTTATTTTAATTGTTTAATAAAAACTACTGCAGATTATAGATTTCAGGATGTACGTGGATTTCAGGTTCGTTGTTCCTGTGTTTGATGCCTTCGATAAGGATGTCAATGGGGAACGATATATCCACATTTGCGTGTTTTATTTTGAGAAGATTTTAAACTATTATATTCCTGAAAATAAAATAATTTGTCTCGTTCCTTAACTGTTTGACCAAACGAATATTAATAAAGATTTCGATACGAGTTTTAACGTAAATATCTTTGCAGATTAATAAAAAATATCTTTGCAGATTAATAAAAACCTGATTTGTTTTTAAAGATGACTGATCGTACGTTATTGCTACCATATCTTTCCTTAAAAAAACACGGACGAGTAGACATGCACACACGAGTGTGCATCCAAGCACCACTATATATATACAGCAGTGTGCAACCACACACGAGTGTGCATATACAAAGGTGTACATACAGACATACAATGCAGTGTACATACACACGCGATTGTGTATGCATAGCAATATTAACGTTAATTTTTTTGCAGATGACTACAATTTTTATTTCTTAAAGTTATCTGAGCGTTCGTTATATGTACAATGCTTCCAACAAACACCTGTACACACACGAGTCAAAGACAAGTGTACATACACAGCAGTGTATATACACACGCTTACAAGCGATACCATTTCGATTTTCATTAAAAGTGTATGACAGCAATCGTAATAATTTTCGTGGATTAAATTAAACAAATCACCTTGATTGTTCTGACGCGCTCATCAACACAAGTACTTAAATATTTTTTTTATAAAACAAAGTCAGTACGGCATACATTTGCACCTCTTAGTACAAATCCAACTGGACATCACCATTTTGATACTTCGATGTTAAATCCTCAAAACTTGCATCATTTTAGAGGACATTGTCGGGTGAATATTAGCAAATTAACACAAAGCACGGAATTATGCATGGAGATGAAAATCTTTATTTAAACGGAAGCATACAATTATTCAGTGAGATATGTATATGTATTAAGGTTAAATTATAATGGCAAGATTAGCTAAGCTATGTTGCTATATATGCGGATTGTAAATGTAAAAATTAACATTTGAATGCAAAGTCCATGATAGGCCAAGTCGAGAACAAAGGATTTGTATGCTAGAGGGGAATTATAAGGGGCTTAAAATCAGACCTCAAGACCATTTCGAGAGGGATTTCACTGAGGATAGACGCTCGACTCCTCGCTCTGCAGATTACCCTGTGATCATAACTTTGCTCAAAAACAAAATAATTTTCCTCATTGTTTAATAAAAACTACTGCAGATGATCGGTTTCAGGATGTACGTGGATTTCACTTTCGTTGTTCCTGTGTTTGATGGCTTTCACTTCAGGATGAATAGCTTCAATCGATAAGGATGTCAATGAAGAATGATAAATCGACCTTTACTTGTTTAATTGAGAATAATTTTTAACTATTAAATTCCTTAAAGTAAAATAATTTGTCTCGTTCCAGATCTGAGTTTCAGCCATATTTGTTTAAATGGGGGTCTCAATTCTAGATTTGAAGCTTTCGTGACTGCAAGGATTCATACTCTTAGGTTTTTTCGGTAAAGTCACGTAGGTAAAAAAATAAAATTTAAATTAATAAAAGTAAAATAAAAATCACGTTTCGGAGGCAACACAAGCTTCCGTCTTCAGGTGGAACCGTCACAGCACGCTTGCTGTATCAAGTAAAAGTCATTTACTTAATACAGCAAGCGTGACTTTACCGAAAAAAACCTAAGAGTATGGGGGTCTCAAGTTTATGAAATTGATGATCTCAACATGCTTACAAAAATATGACGCGTAAAGTTTTACTGCCATGTGATGAATATTTCTCAATAGCCGGTCCTATTGTGTGGTAAGAGGTAATGACGGACGTCAGCATTAGTTCTGTGATTCTTCATGTGCTTCGTTCTCTAATTCATTACTGGTCCTTTGAATGCATTTTCTGTTCTCCATAGACTGGGAGTCGTGGCTCCAGTCGACCACGTGGGGGGACATTATGGATGAAGTGGACCCTTTCCCAGGCCAAAGCTACGAGCATCGCTCCCCAAAGGTGGCTATGGGATATATGGGGGTCAAACACACCATATTCACTCCACACTAGCACACCATTTCACCACACCATTGCACCAAAACATCACCAAACCATCTCTCCACGTCACCTTTCTCATCACACCACCACCAACTCAATAGACCATCATAGAGCCTCATAATGCGTCAACACCATCACAAGACACCATCTCTCCAGAACATTCCACAATTTCACCTCCATATCACAACACCATCTCCCGACACCATCACTCCATCTCTCCACCATCACGTGCTGCCATATCCCACTCGTGCAGGCACTTCAAGTTGCCATTTATTTTGCCAATGAAGACAGAATGATATTATGCAATCTCATGAATTCTGTCTGTGAGCTGATTGGAAGTTGCCATTCCAGTTGCCTACTATCGATGCTGCAGTAAAATTTGTCTAGATTATGGGCTTCCAGATCTTTACAATCGAACATTGTGGACATTTTTTTGCCCGTAATGATTGTTGCCAACAATGGCCATGAACTCGTCGCAGACTATCACAGCCTTAAGTACGTTTATGGAACTTGTGAGAATATATG